AAACAAATCTCAAATTTTAGTGGGAAAGAAACGGTGGCCGCTAAATCCGAGAGAGGATTTAAAACCTGCAATTAAAACCAATTGACATTTATTAGACATAAAACCCCCATATTTCACCTTAAAACAACCAAAATACTCACGTACCTTCCAACATTGCGCTATGACTCACTTTGATGACTGGATATAACAGTCTCACTAAAGGCAGAAGTGGGTTGCAATGTAGTATATTCTGTACAAATGGACACTCGCAGCTCAGCAGAGTATGAACACAAGAGCGAACCTAAAATAACACCCTAAATTTATGGCACCGCATTTCATATCAATTTCACTTGTCAATGAACTTGGCCATGCACTCACATTAGGTAGCTGAAACCCCGCGGAGTTACACGCACACCGCATTCTCGGATCAACAGGTCATCAGCACGAAAATAATCGCTAAATTGTCGAGAGCAGCAATCACACACACAAGCAATTCTTCCAACGCGCCAATACAGGAGAGCAAACCACACACACACTCGTTCATCAAGCGGAGAATGAGAACAAATGCCATTTCATTGAAGCCCACGAGACTTTAAATGTCACCTGTCCTATCGTGTCACCTATCCCTTAAAGGCATAGCAAGCTCATTCCGGTTACATCCACCCCTCTTTCAAAAGTCACCGTCCCGGTGACAACACTTATGCCCATCATACCCATCCCAATCTCAAAGTCTAAAAGGAACATATAGGGAATTTGCTTAGGCTGAATTTGGGGGAACTTGGTCTTCTGGGGATCGCACCGGCCTTGGAAGGTTAAATGGATTTGAATGCAGGCCAGCCCTCATTCTAACAGACTGGCGTAAACAGAATTCTGACTGTTCCTGCTCTAATTCCCGTTCTAACCGATCGTGGGGGCCAGGAACTGGTTCAGGACAGTCAAAAAAATCAGAGCAGGAATCCTGCTGGGGGACAAATCGCCTCAACTTCACATTTATCCAAGGGTACATACCCATTAGGAAGCTCTCGCAAATCCGAGCGGTGAACATTCTTCACGTGCACCGCTGAGTCTTGTTGTCTTACCTTATAAACGGTGCCTACCCCATCCAAGCATTCTACTACCTCATACACCTTAGAGCCCCACACATCTTGAATCTTATGCCGGCCTGGGAAATGATTCTTACACAGAACCAGAGTACCTACTGGCAAAATAGGCACAGACTCTGGATGATGGTGTGCACGCTGGGCTGCTGCCACTCCCAGCTGTTCCCTAGCCTTAACATACACCAAGGCCAAATGGGCCCGATGACTCACCACCCAGTCTTGAGCTGTTGCCGGCATACTCTCTTCCTCAATCCCTAAAAGGGCATCCACAGGAAGCCTTGGCTTCTGGCCAAACATAAGCTCATAAGGGGAATAGCCAGTAGATTGATGGGCAGAGGTATTATAGGCAAAGAGTAATTGTGGTAAAAACTGTGGCCATACCCTTTTCTTTTCAATGGGCAGAGTACGCAATAGATCGTGCAAGGTGCGATTAAACCTTTCACACTGCCCATTTCCCTCAGGATGGTATGCGGTGGTCCTACTCTTCTGAACCCCATACAGGTGGCACAGTTGCTTAAGCAATTCTCCTTCAAAATTTCGCCCCTGATCTGAATGGATACGTTTTGGCACCCCATAAACATAACCACCTCTCTGTCAGGATATGAACCACAGTGCTAGCCTTTTGATCTCGAGTTGGGTAAGCTTGAGTAAACTTAGAAAATACGTCGGTAACTACAAGCACATTCTCACATCCATTTCTTGCCCGTTCTAAAAGGGTAAAATCGATAGCGAGAATTTCCAAGGGCCTTGATGCCATCAAATGCCCCATGGTTGTCCGAACTTTGGGGCGTAAAGCCTTGGAGACCACGCAGCGCTCAAATTTGATACACCATTGCTCAACATCGTGCTGCAGATTGGACCAGAAACACCTCTCCCTCACCAAAGTGGTTGTCCTCTCTATACCTTGATGACCATGATGGTCATGAAGACCTTCCAAAACTTCCTTCCTTAAGACCCCAGGCAATAAAACCTGTAGTACTCTAACCTTCCCTGGAGGCAGGAAAACTTCCCTATACAAAACTCCATCTTTCTGTCGAACACGTTTCCACTGGCGAACCAGCTCCAGTACTTCCCTAGGCTCTTTAGCCCTTTCATAACGAGTAGGGGCCACTCCTCTTCGCCAATATTTCAAAAATGCAGCAATGTGAAGATCTGCAGCCTGCAAAGCTTGCATGTCTGCTTTCTCACGGAAAGGCACCGCTGCTATTTCTGAAGTTAAGGTAAAGTTAGGAACAGATCTTAAACACTGAACTGATGAAAGTACCTGAGGCAAGGTTATACCAGAAACAACCTCCAACACTATTAGGAGCTAAATCTACAGGAAGGCGGGAGAGTGCATCCGCATTGCGATTGGCTGCACCAGGGCGATATTTCATCGCAAAATCAAACAAAGCCAACTCGGACACCCAACGCTGCTCTACAGCAGCCAACTTTGCAGTCTGCAGATAACTCAAAGGGTTGTTGTCTGTAAACACCACAAATTTAGCTCCCAGCAAATATTCCCGAAACTTCTCGGAGATGGCCCACTTAAGGGCCAAGAGCTCCAGTTTCATTGAACTGTAGTTTGACATTCCTTTCTGTAGGGCGCAAGCCCCGACTAGCATAAGCAATAGGCCTCCGCTGACCCTCCTGTTCTTGAGACAATACTGCACCAAGACCAACCTGACTAGCATCTATCTCTAACACAAATGGCTTAGAGAAATCAGCATAGCCTAACACTGGGGCCTCTACCAGTGACCTCTTCAAAGCCACAAAGGCATTCTCCAAAACTTCCGTCCATCGTCCTTCCAACAAAATATTAGTGCCTGAACCTCGCTTATTTCCCTTACCTTGGAGCTCCCCCACTAATCTGTGTAGAGGTGCCGCATATCGAGCAAACCCCTTTACAAACCTTCTGTAGTATGATGCAAAACCCAGAAAGGAGCGCATCTCCAAAAGGTTGCTGGGTCGCTTCCAGTTGGCTACAGCACTGATTTTCTCTGGGTCGGTGGACACTCCATGGGAGGAAATTATGTGACCAAGATACCCAACTTGTTTTTGGAAAAAATGGCATTTTTGGAATTTCAACTTCTAATTATTCTGTTTAAGACGCCCCAAGACCATCTCCAACCGTTGAAGATGTTGTTCGAAGGAACCAGAAAATATGACAATGTCATCCAAGTATAATAAAAGGGACTGGAAACGTTGATCACCAAAAATCCTCTCCATGAGCCTCTGGAAAGTACCGGGTGCATTGCACAATCCGAAAGGCATACGATTATATTCGAAAAGGCCAAAAGGAGTGCAGAAAGCGGTCTTCTCTTTATCCCGTTCAACCACTGGAACTTGGTTATACCCACTAGACAAGTCAAGAGTAGAAAACCACTTAGCCCCTATTAGCGCATCGATTGACTCCTCAATCCTTGGAAGTGGGTACGCATCTTTCCGTGTTTTAGCATTGAGTTGGCGGTAATCAACGCAAAGACGAATACTGCCATCCTTTTCTTGTACCACTACAATAGGCGAAGAGTAGGGACTACAACTAGACCAGACTATACCCTGTTCAAGCAGCTCACTAATATGAGTTTTGACTTGCTAATACTGAGAGGGGGGCAACCGACGATACCGCTGATGAACAGGAGCATCATCTAACACTGGTATCTCATGTTGGACTAGATGAGTACAACCTAAGTCCCCCTCACTCTTGCTAAACACAGAGCTAAAACGGGTCAAAAGGCACTTAGCCTGTTTGGACTGTACAGCAGACAACAAGGGCCATGATGCCTCAATAGGGTCCAACGATGGCCCACTACCTACCTCCATAACCTGATTACAATTCACAAACCCCCGACTAACCACTCTCTCCTCCAATTCAGTATCCAAGACTGACTGCAGATCAACCCTATACAGCTGGCCTAGAAAGGATTTTGGCCTAAGCCATTGATCTTTCTCTCCCAGATTTACTACAGGGACATAAACTACACCCTGCTCTACAGGTAGAAGACATTTTGAAACAAGGATATTCGCAGGTAATGCACTTTCCTCACCTATTGGGGGCTCCAAGAACACAGAAGTAATAACACGAGCCATACCTTGACAAACAGTTGTGGGAACCCATTGCAGGGAGCCCGCTGGCACTCGTATGGCCGATCCTGCTCTTACAACTGCTTTCCCCAATAACCCTGATTCAGCAGTGAGAGCTAAAGTTTGGCACTCTAAGAGGGCCTGTTTCCAACCCCTCCCTGCTTGCTTAACTGTGAGGGAGGAAAACAAACTCTCTCCATATTGGCAGAAAAGTTCTTGGTAACAACAGTTCAAAATATTCATGCCCAAAAGACCTGGGACCGCAAGCTTTTGTTGCCGTGTGAGGGGATCTAGCGGATCTCTCATAATTAATATACCCATTTTAGGGAGAATTTTACCCAAAACTTCAACTTCTAGCTCCAAGTAGCCACAATAGGGAACGTCCACCCCATTAGCAGCTTTTAACCGCAGCCAGCTACAAGGTTTCAAACATTCCCTGATATACATAGGAAATGCCGATTCAAAGAAACTCTCAGTGACCATTGACACCATAGATCCAGTGTCCAGTAAACAAGCGGTTTTCACACCCCCAAAAGAAACATCCACTATAGGGCATTGTCCAATAAGTTGGGCCAAATCTTCTTCCAATAACCCTTTAGAGCCAGGAAAACCCCCCTCTGATGCCAGGCTCCCAGCACCAGAGGGTGCTAGTTTCCCGGATGCACTGAGGTGTCCTGTGCAACGGTTTGACTGTGCACCTGGGATAACTGTCCCTGGCCAGTTCCTCCCCCTCCCCTCAAATTCACTTGCATGCCTGCCAAGTCAGATCTGCAAAACCTTGCAATATGACCGACTTTATTGCAACGCATGCAGATCGGCTTACCATCGGCTTGAAAACGGGCAGCCCCCGAACGGGAGCCAATAACTCCCCCTACAGTATTTGATGGACTTATACTCAAGTGCTTCAAAATAGCATCTAGCTGCGCCTGTTGTTTATGGAGACAATCTTTTAGTTCACCCAATTCATTCGAAAATTCAGGGGAGAGGGAATTAGATCTATACGTACCCACTACCTGAACATCTGCAGCACAAGAATGAACTCGAGGTCTCACACCAGAATTTCCTCCCTCATCTGCCCACCGTATAGCTTCAGAATGAACCTCCAGAAATGACATCTCGGCATTTAACCGCACCGGTCGTTTCAACTCCCTACGAAAGGTATTATCACGCATATGTTCAATAAACTGGTCCCGTAGTGTGTGGTCTGGGTTACAAATACCTGGCAAGTTCTTACGTTTC